TCTCGCTGTATGAACAGTTGCAGTGATAGAGACTTCTCTAGACCATCTATTCCATTTTCAGATAGCTCTAAGTGTAGGAAAATTCTTTCATACATTGAGTCAAATCTTATGGGTTCTAGCTATATCTTTTCTAAAATGTAGATAATGGAAAGTCATTGGAACATTTTAAATGGTAGAGGAACATGTTCAGGGATATGTAACCCAAGGGCCTGAAGTAGGCCTGTGGCAGCACACATATAATATGTACCCCAAGGAAAAGAACTTTAAAAAGGCTTTGAAAAGCATTCCATTCGTGAAATATGTATTGAGCACTTATGATGAGTCAGATAGTGACCAAGAATCTAGCGATAGGACAGAGTTCCTGCTATCACACTCTTCCCAGGCCCCTGGGGAGGATGGACCAGTAGACCGTTGTGACAAGGACTCTGGGAGTTTGGGGCAGGGGTACTTAACCTGGCAGAGGGAGGATAAGAGCCAGGAGTCAAAGGGCAGGTAAGGGTTCCTGGAAGTTGAAGAGATGGCCGGATTGCCCAAGGAGGCAGAAGGGAGAATACTTCAGGGAGGGGGAGCTGGGAGCTAGAAACACAAATGAATATGGTCTATTTAAAGAACTGAAAGCTGTTCTATGGGGGGAGCATGGTGTGTGTAGTGAAGTGGCTGGAAATGAAGCTGGTACAGTAGACAGCGACTGGTCATGAGGGGCTGTGTTTGCCATGCTAAGGATTTTATATCCGGAATTTGATGAGAAGCCAATATTCTTTTTTTTTTTTTTTTTTTAATTTTATTTATTTATTTTTTCCCCCAAAGCCCCAGTGGATAGTTGTATGTCATAGCTGCACATCCTTCTAGTTGCTGTATGTGGGACAAGGCCTCAGCATGGCTGGAGAAGCAGTGCGTCGTCGGTGCACACCCAGGATCCGAACCCGGGCCGCCAGCAGCAGAGCGCACGCACTTAACCGCCAAGCCACGGGGCCGGCCCAGAAGCCAATATTCTTAAAAACAGTTTTTCCTCCTCCATTTATAGAATGCACATATACTCCTTTTAAAAATATTAGAACATGGAGAAAATATAAAGGAAGAAACACAAGTCACCTTTAATCTCACTAACCAGAAATAACCACTGTTAAAACATTTTGGTATATTTCTAACCAAGTGTGTTTCTATGCCTATATACAGAAGAAAAGCATGATCTTATTATAAAATATAGTTTGCATCCTGCTTTTTCTAATGTAACATTGTGTGTCAGCATTTCCCAGGCCATGCCATTAAAAATTATTTGAGAATTTAACTACCAATGACTACTTATAATAGCCCCAAAGATGACTGTATCTTATACTTAAATGCCTCATAATGGGTTAAATTTTAAGTTGCTTGCATTTTTTACTGTTATAAATAATGTTGTGATAAATAGCCTTGTATGTAAATTTGTATTCACATCTACCTATTTCCTTGAGATGGATCTAGCCATGTCAGTGGTTGCCTTTTAAGCAGGGGCATGGTGGGTTAAATATATACTCAAGTGTATATATTTGAAAAGCCATTAAGACTGCAATGTGAAGGGTGGATGGGAAAGAGGTGATCCAGAGGCAAGCAGAGGAAAGATACTATTTGAGCAATATAGACCAAGTATGAGGGCATAAACTAAGTTATTGGCAGCAAGATCAGAGAAAAGAGGAGATAGCAATGATTCTTAAGGTGTTTGCTTGTTTGTTGTTTATTTGTTTGCATAACAGAGCTTCCTGCAAACTTGATGAAAATTATTGGCATTTTTACGTATTAGTAATTCAGGGGTTTAGAGACCTCTAAGGTGCAGTGGGTAGGACAAAGAGAGTAATAGGGGTTAATGGTTCTCTTCGCCAAGATAGGAAAACCGAGGGGGAAGAACAGGTTTGAAGGGTTGCCTTGGGGAGGGGGAATTTATGAGCCCAGTATTAGGTGTACTGGGTAAAACTGTCAAGGAGGTAGTTTATAAATTGATCTAATAGCTTAGGAGAGAGGTCAGAGCAGCATGTGAGGATGTGGGAGCCATCCTCACAAAGATCACTGGTGGTATTGAGACCTTGGACATGAAAGTCACCCTAGAGATCAGGGTGTTTATGAGAAGAGCCCTTGGGACAGAACTGGGGAGACTGCTTACTCTTAAGTAGCAGACAAGGGGGAAACTAGAGAAGGAGCTAGGAGAGAAGTATGAAGAAAACCAGAAGAGAATGGTGCTGAAGAAGCCAAGAGAGACAAGAGTTTCAAGGAAAAAGTCATCAAACTGTCAAATGTTGCAGAGGTCAAGCAAGAAAAGGACTGGAGGGTGTCCATGGGAGCAATTTAAGTCACCTGAAATGTGGAATGAGCAGATTCAGAGGAATTGTGGGGCTGGAAGCCAGATTGTGGCTGTGCAGTGAGGAGTAACAGGAGCCAAGGGAGTAGAGTGTTGATGGCTTTTTCTAAGATAGCTTGTTGTGAAGGGCTGGAGAGGGCAAGGCGATAGCTGGAGTGAGATGGGGCCACGGGGGGTTCGCTTTTTCTTCTTGTTTATATTAAACAAGGAAAGCTAGATTTCCACATTGTCATATGACTTCGATTACTTCTTCAACATTTGCTATTTGCCATGTTTAAAATCCTTTACTGGTGATTAGTTTTTTGGACACAGTATACTCTGTCCAAGCTTCCAATGAAAGCACTGCTGCCCAAACTCCTAGCATCTTACTTCAAGTTCTCTTTAAACAAGATGAGACCCCTGTGTTTGTGCACATAGTCTCATTGGATTGTAATAAGACTCCCCTCTCAGTTGTTTTTTTTTTTTTGTGAGGAAGATCAGCTGTGAGCTAACATCTGATGCCAATCCTCCTCTTTTTTTTTTTTTTCTGAGGAAGACTGGCCCTGAGCTAACATCTGTGCCCATCTTCCTCTCCTTTATATGGGACGCCGCCACAGCATGGCTTAACAAGCGGTGCATCGGTGCGTGCCCGGGATCTGAACTGGCGAACCCCGGCCTGCCGCAGCAGAGCGCGCGCACTTAACTACCTGCGCCACCGGGCTGGCCCCTCCTCTCTCAGTTTTTAAGCTTCGCATACTAATATTTAGAATCGCAGTTTTAAAATTACAGGTTATGACTTGTGTCCTTGAAGTTTGACCTTTACCTGAAGAATTGATCAAAAATGGTAAATGTTTAAATGTTGCAGTTTAGAGAATGTCTTTATTGTGTTGCCAAATGCTGAATGACAGAGAGCTTTAATTCTGACAAGCTCTAATTAGAAAGAGAAAAAAAAAAAATTAAAGGGTGATGTCAACCAGAATCAAAGTGAACCAGAACAAGAAATACTTTTATTGGTTACAGAACATCAACAATGTGTGGTATAGTCTTATTCACTTCCTTTACTAGCAATGAAAATACTGCAGGCTATCTCTAGGGAGTTTAGACAATCTTATTGAACACATGATCATTTTGAGAGGTGTTTTTCATTGGTAATATGATGCTCTTTGGGGCTGCAGAAAATTATTTATTTTTAGATATATGCTAAATGATTCTTGGCTTGAAAAAAAAAACAATATGGCAAATGTTTCTAATGTAGGAAGAAGTGGATAATCAATGCAGTGTATCCACTGGTTTCTTGCTTAATGGTGAATTAGCCTATTTTTGAGTGCTAAATTAGCCTATTTTTGAGTATTACTTCTCAGCACAATTGCTTTAAAGATGTTGACATCGCTTTTTTAGAGGTCATAATGTTATAATAGAAAACAGTTGTCCATGTACGAAATGAAATAGAGGATATATACATCAATACATATACACACACATATATATATACATGTGTATATATATATATGAGATTTTGCTTATACACATATACGTATTTATACGTGTGTGTGTGTGTGTGTGTGTCTATGTATGTATATGAGATTTTGCTTTATAAAGAACCTGGTTATCTTTCAGATGAGATTTACCCTTCTCTAAAATGAGATTTTACTCTTAAGTTCTTAGTCCTTTCTTCTTTCTCTTTGCTTTCCAGTGAACTTCAATATTGTATCTTTTAATTCCCTTTGGACCTCTCTTCCTCCCCACCCTGTCTAGAACCTTTAGGCTATTCTGTTAATTCTTTACCCATGCTAGTCAACTCTCTTGTTCCTTGACTTTTCATTGAATCTCATTCAATCTGCCCAGGCTCAGCCTAATCATTTGACATCTTTGCTAGTGTACCTGAGCTGCTGAGCACTGTTAGCTAAAACTTGACAACTATGTGGATTGTAGCCTCTGTAAATTCATGGTCTCCAATTTCTTAGGTCCTCAAGATAGCCTTAGCAATCCTTGATTGTTTCCGTAAGCAGTTTTCACCTTGGTGGCTATTCTACAACTTTCACTCCCATCTTCAAACTTCCTCCCTGCCACCTATTCCCTCAGTCTCAGAAAATGATCTTGACTCTTGTTTTACTGAGGCCACCAGGCAGGAATTCCTGAACAACCACTTCCTTTCTACCACTTTTATCTACCTATAAATTTTCTCAACCCATATCACCTTCTAGTGATTTTCCTACTTTTTCTCCTTAACTTTTGTCACCAGGCTGCTCAGAAGAGTAGTGCCTGCTTGCTTACCTTCTATTCTTTGGCTTCCACCCACGCTGCTCTTGACAAAGTTAAACTGTTAATACTGATGAGAGAGCTTCAAACCTTCACCTTATTTGGCCTCTATGGCATTTTAACATTACTGAACACTACCTCTAAGCATCTTCCTCAGTTTTTATTAAACCCTCTCTCTTTTGGATTTTCTCCCACGTTAGGTTCTCACAAATTCAAGGTTGCCATTTTTCCAAAATAGCAGGAAAAAATTTAAGCATTTAATGCTTTACAAAATAGTATTAGGTGTGAATGCTTATAATTCAGTATTAACTATAATTCTGAAAATTATTTATACTTTTATGTTACATAAATATGTTATAATTCAGCATTAGTTATACTTTTAAAAAATAAGGAATATGTATTAATTATTTCTTGGTTTCTTCTTTCCTAGTTAATGAAGGAGTTCCCCTTGCTGAGCATGTTCAACATTCATGAAAATCTTTTAGAAGCCCTTCTGGAGCTACAAGCATATGCTGATGTTCAGGCAGTCTTAGCAAAGTATGATGGTAAGTCCTTGGGTGTGTTTTGTCTACTTGAGTATTCCTCTCTTCTTGATGTATTTCAATGATTAGATTGGAAGGACCGTTTCAAGGAGCACAGCACTTTGATAACTATCCTCTTATAGAATTTTCACCTACAGTTTTATGATGGCATTTTGTAGAATCTTAGAATTTCATGGTTAGTGGAGGCCAGAAACATCAAGTAGCCTGTGCTGCATTTTTCTCCTTCCTTCCCAAGTTACCCTCGCCCTCTCCCTGTCAACAAGAGTTATGCATACTTTGCTTTATTTCTTCCGTGGTTAGGAATCACTCAGAAGGCAGCACATAGCCTTTAAGGACAGCTATTCGAGCTGCTGCTATGACCCCACATTGGTTGACTGTGACCACTCCGTTGGTCGTATTGACCCTTTGAAACAATATAGAACAGCTAGTAGCCCTAGCTACAGCTCTTGTGACAGCTCAGTAAATATTTGAAGATAAAATCATGTCCCCTTCATCCCAGGTCTTCTCCCCATTAGCAGAATATTCTCATTTCTTTACGTGAGGGGCTTTGAAGTCCATTCGCCACTCTGGTTACTCAACCCATGAGCTTATTCTATTTTACCTGTACTTAATAAACCAGAAAAATAAACAGACACATCCTAGAGATTTGAAAACTTTTGTCCTCATATTGCCATTATCGGGTGAATTCAGTATTTGGCTAGTTGTACAAGAATTATCCACATCAGGGCCGGCCCCGTGGCTTGGTGGTTAAGTGCACGCGCTCTGATGCTGGCGGCCCGGGTTCGGATCCCGGGTGCGCACCGAGGCACCACTTCTCCGTCCATCCTGAGGCTGAGTCCCACATACAGCGACTAGAAGGATGTGCAGCTATGACATACGACTATCTACTGGGGCTTTGGGGGAAAAAAAAAATAAATAAAATCTTTAAAAAAAAAAAAAGAATTATCCACATCAGTGCATGCCATGACTTAGCTACTGGAATCTCTGAAGAAGTTCATACTATGAATATGCCTTATTTTATTAACTGTCTCCCCCAAATAAATGTGTTTGCTTGTAAAATGGATGTTAGGGAATGATTATTTTTATTACATATTTTACTTTATAAAGTATTATTTCTTTAGTAAGCATCTTTAGTGCATATAAAGAATTATTCAGGTCAGAAATTTCCAGGAATTCGTCAAACATATAGAGCAAACTATACTATTTGGGTCTGATTTTTGACAGACAGTTCTTCCTAAGGAATCTCTGAAATAGATTGGAGTTGTTACCCCCTACAGTTGGGGGAACTGAGGCAGCGTGAGACTGTTTTTGTTTTGTTGTTAATTCTTGCTCAAATTGACAGAAACTAAAAGCCCTCAACCAGTAATGGCATCACTTGGCCTGTGCCAACATGAGTATCCTGTGTAACAAGATATATGCTACCTAGTATGGAACTGATTTTAGAAAGAGAAAAGTATTTGTGGCGCACTTTATAGTAAACAAAATAAAGACTGTTTGGCCGTCATGTCAGCTCACTTTTGTTCTCTCTTTACATGCTAGAATCTCACTGTTTGGCTGACTTTGGGAGTCTAAGCCATGAGCTACGTCACAGGCAAAATGCTCATACATTGAGGGTCTTTTGGTACCAAAGGAACCCAGTCCCATGCACACGGGTTCAGGGCGCCATGCACTTTCCCAAATGCCACCTTGTAGCCATCAATGCCGTAGGAAGATTCCAGTGTTTTCATCCCCAGTGCTAACCTGTACCCAACCTGATACGTCAAGGCTTAAGAAAAAAGATTAACCAATAGAGCCTTTGGGATCTCAAGTGTCATAAGGCTCTTTTCGTGAATATCTCAGTTCATTACAGAAATCATCAGCTTTGTATTATAAGACTGACTGTAAAATAAAGAAATGAACTCATTTGGAGCTTTCCGTTGTCTCAGTCTATCCCATTGCATGGCCTCTGTTCCACAACAACCGAAAGTTGATTTATTAGATTCTGATAACATATGTTCGCATTATTTGTTACAACAGTCCGTCCCACCCTCCACTAAAACTTGGCTCGCACTTTCCAAAATTCCTTTGTTGCAAATGAACAAACTCACGATACCAAGGCCCTTGTGTTGAGCTTTGTTTATGTTGTATACCTGGCAACAGAGATGATGTTCTTATTCATTATTCATGGAAAAAGAACCTCATTAGTGGCAGGACACATACTGTTGCTGAGATGCCTCATTAGGGGTTTTGAGTTCAGCATTTGTCAATAGACTGCAGATGACCTAACCCTGACTGAATTCTGGAGGGTGTTTTGGTGCAGACTTGGCTCTGGCCTATGTCATTTACAGTAGAAATATAATGAAGTGGCTGCTAAAGTTACTGTTCTTGAGGAGTGAGCTGCAACCACACAAGACTATTAGAAAACATGCCTCTTTTTCCTCACTCCATACCATAAAATGGACTCTCTTGAGTTCATCCCTGCTGTTTTTCTAGAGATGCAAAGGACTTCTACCAAGTTGTTGCCCCATTATCTGGCCCAGTGTGAGGAAGTGGGTGCTTTAGAGGGCTTGGAGTACAGACAGAATTAGGGTCACCCAGTTCTTCACCCCGATTCAGACGTCATCATTCTAATCCATGAGATGCTGGAGACAGCACTTTGAATCCCAGCCTCGCCATCCCTCTCTGTAGAGCCACACCCAAAGCAGCAGGATTATGTTATCTTTGCAAATTGGAATGCTCTGGTTGGGTAGCTGTTTCTTGGATGCTTTATGGGTACAGCAGTCCTTCTTTATTACATTTGCTAGGTGGCTGGATTTTTTAAGTAGTATGTTGGGGAGTGACACAATGGGATTAGTGCTGCTTTCCTGACCTTTGCAAAAAGAATTTAGAAATATGGCAAGGCAAAGGGGAAAAAAACAACATGTCCTGAGGAAAGGAGGAAGGCAACATGTATTCCCTTTGCCTCATTCTTCTTTTTCTTCACTGTTGTTTTTTGTTTTTGGCTTTGAGGTTTTTTTTTAAAGTGACATTCACAAACTTCTTTTACAGTGAAGTACTTCGGAAACCCTGGATCCCTAGTAAGATTACCAGTAGGTCATATCTCCTTGTAATCTTCAGTCTAATTTTGATTTTGCCTTTGAGATAACTTCTCATGTTATATGATTCTAGCCATTAATCTGAAATGCTGTCTTGCCATCCTCATGAATTTTTATACTTTTTTCCTATTTGTTAACTGACATTATTGGTAGGAAGTTTTTATCCAGGTAAGTGGTCCTGGTTTTGGAGTGTCCTTCACACAATGACTAAAATAACAGCAACAGCAACAGCTAGCATTTATTGAGTTCTTATCATGTGTCAGGGTCAAACATGTTTCTAAGCTCTACGTGGATGAAGTCATTTATTCTCACCGTAAGCATATGAGGCAGATACTGTTATTAGCCCCATTTTACAGCTGTGGTAACTGGTGCAGAGAGAAGTTAAGTAACTTGCTCAAACGAAGAGCCTAAGATGTTGAAGTAAACCATGGAGATGTTATGTTATGAGAGAAAAGAGATAAACGGAGAAGTCTTTGTTCAATAAGATGTGAATTCTTGGAGGCGAGGAGAGCCAGGAGAAAAACTAAGGTGATCTGACTCCAGGCCCACGGTCTTAACCATCACACTTGCACTGTCTCTGCTGTTGGCAGTATTTTTTTTATTGTTTTCATTAACACTATTCTTGTTGTTGTTATTATTAACCACAGCTTATTGAGAATGTACCATGTGACAAAGAAGTTATACACATTACCTATAACCCTCACAATAACCTTGCAGGGAGGTAGTTATTCCATTTGAGCAGAGGCAGAAACTGAGTCTTGTGAGTTTAAGTAACTTTCAAGACCACTTTCTTTGAAAACTGAAGAACTAGGATTCAAATCCAGGTCTATTTGGCTCTAAAAGCCCATGTGTTTTTCATAAATGTAAGCCTTGCTGAAGTAACTCTGCCTCCCTCTCTCCTCTTACAAAGGCATGAAGTAGGCGGGCTGGAGCTGTGGTGCAGAATTTCAGTGATGCCAAATTGTGTTTTAAGATTCCGTTTTAATCATTTCTTAAGAACTGGGTATATCTGTGTTTGCTTGTCTTTCTGAAACTATCTTCCAAATATGGTTTTCCATCTTCAGTCAAATTGTACCTGATTTCTTTAGTCATGAAGGAGTTTAATGAATGGTGTTCATTTAATTTGAGATTTATCGTCTCTTTTTTTCAGTCATACATTAGCTATAAAGACAGAAATGTTTTTAATATCGTTAAGTCATCAGAACCTTCTTTTAGAAGCCATTACTAAAGTTGTTACAAGCTTTGGATTGCCTTTCAAAGAAGTTCATAGGCCACCTAGGTTGAAAACTTAAGTCTAAAAGATTAGAGTGGTAATGTGGAAAAGAATTCATGCGTTTTTTATTCATTATCATTTATGTGTTTTGATTTTAGAAGAATCTCATAGAGCAAGTGAATGTGAATGTAAGTGCTACAAGATACCTTTGGGAGAGTCTAGTTCTGTCTGTGTCTAGTTAGTGATCCCTGGGGACACCAAAGGCAGTCACGAGTGATGGTGAAGAGTACTAGCCCTGGTGCAAGCCTGCTGAGATCAAGTCCCAGTTCTGCCTTTCACTAGCTGAGTGAACTTCAGCAAGTTACTTAACCTTTTAAGACCCCATTTCTTTCTCTGAAAATGGAATTGAGGCTTAGAAAGGCTGTGTAACTTGCACAAGATCACACAGTTGGGAATTTGTTGTGAGGATTAAAGTAGTTAATCCATATTAAGTGTTTAGAACAGTATAGAGCACACAGTAAGAGTTCAGAAACTATTAGCTGTTTTAAAGAGCCGAGATTACCATTCCTGAACTTCACCACTGTTCTCAATCAATTTTGTTCAAATGGAAAGCCATATATAAAATCTCAGGTAAAATGAGAGAATAAGAGCCCAGTCTTGTGCCCCCCCCAAGACAGTGTTATCGCCTGTTATTAAAATTAATTATGGCTCTAATA